TTTTAATGAATTTTTTTTTTTTTTTAAGAAGTTGGCCTTTCTCCACCAAGGCAGGGTGACTCAAAAGAAAGAAAATCCCCCCCAAAAAATACTTTCATCATTCAACACTTTCACCTCACTCACACACAAACACTGTTTTTGCAGAGGTGCTCAGGATACAACAGTTTAGAAGCATATACGTATAAAGATACACAACATATCCCTCCAAACTGCCAATATCCCAAACCCCTCCTTTAACCCTTTGACTGTTTGTCGTATATATACGTCTTACGAGCCACCGTTTTTGACATATATACTCCATAAATTCTAGCTGCTTCAAATCAAGCAGAGAAAGCTGCTAGGCCCACATGTGAGAGAATGGGTCTGTGTGGTCACTGTGCACCACATAAAAAATCCTGCAGCACGCAGTGCATAATGAGAAAAAAAACTCCGACCGTGGTTTTTTTTTTTCCATTAAAATGCAGAATTTATGGTCCATTTTCTATAGTATTTATGGTTGTATTCTCGTTTTCTTTCTTGTTTGATAGAATGGAAAAATATTATAGAAATAGAGGTGATTTTGGTTGGTTTTACTATAAAAAGAACCTTGAAATGGAGCTCAAAGTAGGGGAAATGTTTGATTTTGCCAATGTTTGGAAGTAGAAAAATTGTCATTTTCCAATAAATGTCCAAGTAGCCATTCTAATATGCATTCATGAATGGGTTGACATTATTTATACAGTTATTGCAATATTGCAGTAGTCTGCATAACAGTAAATCTTTTATTTTTTTGTTTGAATAAAAATTCAAAATAAAAAGCAAGAGTAATATCAGAGGGGCCTGAGACATGACTGATAAACATAGAAAATGTTACTTTAGAGCCAGGAATAACTGCATTGTTCATTCTGGACCCTATTTTGGAAATTGTCATATTTTTTAATTTTCGTGAAATTAGCCAAATTGCAAATTTCTGACCACATTATTGGGTAGTTGAAATCAGTAAATGGGCAGTTACTTGCACTCTATCGATGAAAAAAATGGAGTTATAAAGAAATAGCTGTGAGTTTGGTTGACTGGAACAAAGGAATTGGCTGAAAATAGGCTCAAAGTGGGCAAAATTGCAGATTCATAAATATTGCCGACGTCCTAAATTTATGAGAGCATAATTCTGTCAGTTTTCCATCAAATTTCGTTCTTTTGGTCTCATTACGATCGGGAAAAGATTCTCTTATTTCATAAGAAAAAATAATTTTTTATAATTTTTTGGAAATTTTGCAACTCGAGGAGACACCTCAGGATTTGGGGTTGCAACAGTCAAGGGTGAAAGTGCAGGTATTGTACTTCCCATTTCCAGGACTTGAGTCCGGCTGTATAAAAACAACCAGTTTCCCTGAATCCCTTCACTAAATATTACCCTGCTCACACTCCAACATCTCGTCAGGTCCCAAATACCATTCGTCTCCATTTACTCCTATGTAACACGCTCACACGTGCTTGCTGGAAGTCCAAGCCCCTCGCCAACAAAACCTCTTTCCCGTCTCTCCAACCTTTTAAAGGACAACCCCTACCCTGCCTTCCTTCCCCTACAGATTTATATGCTCTCCATGTTATTATACTTTGATCCATTCTCTCTAAATGACCAAACCACATCAACAAAATCTCTTCTGCCCTCTAAATTTTTTTAAACTCCACACCTTCTTTTAATTTCCACACTCCTATTTCTGCATAATATTTACACCACACATTGCCCTTATACAGGACATCTCCACTGCCTCCAACCACCTCCTCGCTGCCACATTTACAACACAAGCTTCACACCCATATAAGAGTGTTGGTACTACTATATTTTCTACATTCTTTTCTTTGCCTCCATAGATAACGTTTGTCTCCACATATACCTCAACGCACCACTCGCCTTTTTGCCGTCATCAATTCTATGATTAACCTCGTCCTTCATAAACCCCATCCGCTGACACTTCAACTCAGAAATATCTGAAAACATTCACTTTTTCCATACTCCTCCCCAATTTGATATCCAATTTTTCTTTATCTAAATCATTTGATACCCTCATCACCTTACTCTTTTCTATGTTCAAATTTCAACTTTCTTCCTTTACACACACACCCAAATTCGTCCCTAACCTTTGCCGTTTTTTCTTTTTGAATCTCCCCTAAGCACAGTATCATCAGCAAAAAGTAACTGTGTCAATTCCCATTTTGTATTTGATTCCCCCCAAAAATTTTAACCCCCCCCCCAAAACCCCCTACATTTTTTCTTTTATTCCCCAAAAATTTTAAACCCATGGCCAAAAATTGTTAAAATTTTTACGGGGGCTCCCTTCTTCCCCCCAAACCCCCATTTAAAAAAATTTTTAAAATTTCCTCCACCTACCATATTTTCCCTCTCCCATCCCCCCTATACTCTTTAATTTTTTTTTTAAAATCCAAAACCAAAAAAATTCCCTACCTTTTTCTTACTGTTTTAATTTTCTTAAAATTTTTCTAAATTAAAAAAAATTTTTTTTAAAAATTTTTTTGATGCCCTCCACATTTTCCAAAATTTACTCTCTTTTCCTTTTAATTTTACACTTTTTTTCCCCCTTTCCCCTTTTAAAAAATTTTCATTTTCCCCCCTGTCCTTCCCCCTTTTAACTTTTTTTAAAAAAAAACCCCATAAAACTTTCCCCCCCTTTTAACACCTTCTTCCCCATCATTCCACATTTCCCCCTTTTCTTCTACTCCTTCCCCCCCCCTTAAAAATTCTGTCCCACCCCTAAAAAAAAACCCTTGGGCCATTAAAAACTGCCCCCTTTCCCCCCCAAAAAAAACCCCCCCTCTCCCTTTCCCCCTTTCAATTTCCCCCCTTTTTTTCTGCAAAAAAAATTTCCCTATTTTTAACGAAAACCCTTCAAATTTTTTTCAAAAGTTAAAAATTTTAACTCCCCCCCCACTCCCCCCTTTTTTCCACCTCCCCTCTTTTCACCTTTCTTTTACTCCCCATAAAATGTCCATAACACTTCTTAAAAACCCTTTTGCTAACTTTTCTTTTACCCCCCTTTATCTAATAAACCCCCTTTCCCCCTTCCCCCTCCCCCCATTAAAAACCCTTGTAATTTTAAATCTCTTTTTTTAAAAAGTATCTTAACCCCCCAAATCTCTTTCCTACCCCCCTTTCCCCAATAAATTAACTCCCCATTTTCCCCCCATTTAAACCCTTTTCACCCCCCCCCATTTTTCCACTTCCCTTTTCCCACACTTTTTTAACTTTAAAATAAATAAACCAAAATTCCCCTTTAAAAACTCCCCACCCATCAACCTTTTTCCCCAAAAAATTCTTCCTTTTTTCATTCGCTCTCCCCTTTATTTTTATTTACCTCTTTTCCCATAAAATTTTATTTTACCAAATCTTTTAAATACCAAATTAAAGTCCCTTTCATTTCCCCTCCCCCCCAAATTTCCTTACCTTCCCCCAACATTTTTAACTTTCTTTAACCCCAAAAACTCAAATTGTTAAAAACCCCCCGACCTAAACCCCCCTTTTTTAAATTCCTTTTCCCGGGGAAAAACCCTTTCCCCCCCCTTTTTTCACCCCCCTTTTTTTTTACCCACTAACCAGTTTAATCTTTTTTTTCGTTTTTTTTTTCTTTTTTTCTTTCTTTTCCCCTATTTTTATTTTTTCTATTTTCTTTCCCCCCCCCCCCCATTTTTTCCCTTTTTTTTTTTTTCTTTTTTTTTTTCTTTTTTTTTTTTTCTTTTTCCCTTTTTTTTTTTCTTTTTTTTTTTTTTTTTCTTTTTTTTTTTTTCTTTTTTTTTTTTTTTTTTTTTTCTTTTTCTATTTTTTTTTTTTTTTCTTTTTTTTTTTTTTTTTTTTTTCTTTTTTTCTTTTTTTTTTTTTCCCCTTTTTCTTTTTTTTTTCTTTTTTTTTTTTTTTTTTTTTTTTTTTTTTTTCTTTTTTTTTTTTTTTTTTCTTTAATAACTTACAGCAAGCTTGTATATTGATCCCCCATTTGTGCGAGACCTTTTCTATTTTTTTTTGTATTGTCACGCCACCTCAAACCCAGGTGTAAATGCTGTACATCACTTCTTCAACCATTCCCTCTTATGCAGCACGTTGGGCCACTCCATATATATGTATGCAATATAAAATTTTTGGGCCTAGTGGTCGGGCCCCTACACCAAGCAAGGGGGTTAAAGATTTGAAATGAATTGTATGGTTTTTCTCTTTCAAAAAAAATCATCACAAAATTTTTTAAAATTGAAGATAGGATTTGTTTCTTGCCTGTACCCCCTGCTTTCGGGCATCCTGCCCTTCTTCGAACGGGTGCTATTGCT